CTCAAATTTTTAGTAATTAAATAATAATGAGAATTTAATACAATTTTTTTTTGAAAATGTATAGAAGTTCATACTATTTAATAAAATACTTCCAATTCTTAACTATCCATAGTTTAATTATAAAAAATCTAAAACTGAACCATACATGCCTTACAATATCACTTTGTAAGTGACCTCAAAAGTTTGCAAAATTTTTAACAATTTAAATAAGAATGAGAAATTATTACTAAAATTAATATCGATTTATTAAAGTCATTATTATTGAATAAAAATCTTCCAAATCTCAACTGTTTATAATTTATTTATTAAAAATCAAAAACAAAAATTTATTTTTGTTAATATTATTACTAGCTGTCCTACTATCGGTCACTTTGACAAAACGGGCTTGGAACACTCATATTGTAGTCGATGTTTACAAAATGCAATATTTCTGAAATATTACTTGTTTTTATGGCAAACTGTAAAATAAGTTTTTCTTATTTATTTACTGAATATTACAGACATAAAATATTCTGTTTGAAGATGAAAAAATCTTTTTTTCCTGACATCAGTATACAACTTGCAAAATGTGAGCTTGGGAAAGTAAAAGAAAGAAAAAAACAGTTGAAGACTTTTTAAAACTTTACACATTTCACATAAATAAAAATTATGTGATGATTCGATAAACTAATATCAGACTGGTCATTTCGTTCAACTTTTCAAGACAATATAAGGTCTTTCATAGATATAAATCTATAAATTCATCATAGCATATCAAAATTTAATTCCATCAAAAATCTATGTATACATGAATAAATCTATTATATGTTTATTATAAAATTTTGTCTATAAATTATCTAATTTATTATGCTGTATCTATCGAATCAGTTTTTTTTTAACCTTTCGATGTTTTGACGTTTTTTTGTTTTTGTCTGAAACACCATCAAGGTCTTGAAATAAAAATACAAAAATAACCGCATTGTTTCTTCTACAATCCCGTTTTTTTGTCAGAACATAATAATGGACTCAACATTCTATTTTAATAATTTTGATTCGGATTTTTTATCAGAAAATTTGATAATTTGCATTGGAAAAACAGATCAGCAGTTGATTTTCTATTCTATTGATAAATTGTAACGATATTCTAATGATTACAATATAAATATAAAATGTATTATTTCATTTAATTAATAATATTAAACGGTAAATTAGTTATAAAGAATCAATTGGTGATTTTTTTATATTAGTAGGTTTTTGTTAGTTTGATTTGAGAAAAATGATCGTGAAAGCAATAATTTTGTAACTAATTTATATTACTAAATAACAGTTCAAAAGAAAAGTTATTGTGATTCTCAAATTTTCAGGAAATTATTTCATATTGAAAAAACAGTATTTGAGTATTATAAAAGAATAATGTAAACTATATAAACTGGCTGCTAGAACTAAAAATTTATAATATTAATATAAATTACAAAATATATTTACTGAACTAGGTGAATAAATTTAAATTACAAATAAAAGGTACGCTCAACATCACATTATTATTTTAGTGTTAAAAATAAATTTTAAAATATTTTTTAAAATTCTAATGAAAACTTAAGGAATATTCCATTTCGTTAAATTGTGTTTGAAGCAAATTTGCATGTTTTTCAAATCTAATGTATATTTGTTATTTTTTAATATGAATGTTTTTAAATTGTGTATCCCCCAGATAAAAAAAATGTATACTATCTAATTTTATTATCAAATTTTATTGATACTCCTATGGGCATCTTTGGAGAAATACTTCGAAATGAGAAATAATGGTTTACTGACTGGATGGCACAAAAATTTATATTTTGTCGATTGGTTTAGGATTTTGCTTCAGAAAGTACTGACATCTTGTTTAGAACATGTATTAAATAATTGTAGTTAATTATTTAATTATAATTGTATTAAATACAGAATTGATTTTCCATCGATTTCATAATAATAAATAAATTTTTTGATATATAGTCTTTACACATTATTTTTGGTTAAAGTTGAAAAGATATAACATTGTGATTTTTAGGAAAACAAAGCTTCATTTATTACAATTTAAATAAAAATCATAAAAATTTTCACATATCAACAAAGATTTTAATTGACAATCGAAGAATACCTCATAAAAAGCACAATAATCAAAAGAAGTTAGAATTTTGTTAGTAAAAAAACTAAATTAAATTAAAATGAACTTTGTGAAAAACTTTTGGCGAACCCATTTGGCCAATTTTAGTCTTGAAACATTTACAACCATGACAATTTCGACAGATAAACATTTGAAAAAAAATAAAGTTAGATTTGCCAAGTGAAAAATCAAATGTTTGGGACTTAGATAATTTAGTAAAAAAATATTTAAAAATTGACAAATATTTTAATAAAATGAACATCGTTCTGGTTTACCAAAACATTCATATCATTGTTATTTTATGATAATAAAAATATGATAGTTGATTCAAATCTATTTCCTACATTTGCTTGGATTTTTAGTAATGATATTACTAATATAAAAATTAGAATTCAATAATATTAGTTCTCAACAATTTTATATTATAAAACTTTTGATTGACTAAAATATAAAAAAATAATATTATAATAATAATAATATTGTTACAATGTTTATAAAATTATTCCCAACATTTCCACAATATGTTCCAGTTTAATACAACAGATGGCACCACCGTTTCACTCAAAGTTCCAATCAGATTCAAACTAGATTCTAAAGTTGCTTAATAAATAAATTGTATAATTTACAGAACTAACGTTTAAAATAATTAAAATTATAATTGTGCAAAATCAAATTAAATGTCGTATTAATAAATGAATTATATATATATATATATATATATATTACTTAAGAATTTCATAAAACATAGAAGAAAAATTGTAAAAATTTTGCAAACCCTTAAGCAGTGTCAACTTATGTTACTAATATTTTAGCAAAGTTTTGGGACTACTCGAGCAAATTTATTTAACATCATTTACAGTTTTTATAATTTGTTAATATAATAATATGACAAAAATTATACTAAATCAGATTTCTACATTTCCATGAATATTTTTATAAAAATGACAATATTATTAGGAACAAACAGTAGAAATAGTTAAAACAAATAATTTAGTATGTCTTTCCAAATTTGGTGCCAAAAAAATGAAACAAAGTAATTCATACATAGAAAAAAAAAAAAAACAGCAATTAATTAAGTAATACTATTCCCAGCATTTCCATTATTAGTTTCTATTATATATTTTATCCAACAGATGGCAGAACCGTTTCCCTCGATGTTCCAATCAGATTCAAACTAGATCCCAAAGTTTAGAATAAATTTTAAGATCAAGAGAAAAAAAAAATTATAAGTGTACAAAAACAAATTGGATGTTGAAATAATTATTAAGTTATAATATATATTAAAGGTATATCATAACAAATTTAAAAAAAGTGATCACTTTCATAAAATATTTTAAAAAAGTGACTTGAATTCCATAGGATATTTAATAAAGATTCTAATAATTAGTTACTTGGTTGCCACCTAATTAACATATATATCAGTAAAATAAAATTAATAAATATTTAGTCAATAATTTAGTAAAAATTTAACAAAATAATTAGCAGTATCAACTTAGACAACCTACTAGGACCAAAGCAAATACTGTAGCAAAGTTTAGGATCTACACTAGGAAATTTATTCAAAATCATTAATAATTTTTAGTAATTTGCTATTAAAACTACAACAAAAACAATATAACAATATTCCAACAATTCTCACAAATCAATTCCCAACATTTTCATTATAAGTTTTTATTTTCCTTAATAGATGGGGCCACCATTTCACTCGGCGTTCCAATCAGATTCAAACTAGATTCTAAAGTTGCTTAATAAATAAATTTTAAAATATACAAAATAATCGTTTTAAATAATTAAAATTTCAATAGTACAAAACAGATCAAATGTAGTATTAATGAATAAATTATATATACTTGGGTATTTGATAAAACTTAGAAGAAAATGGACTTAAATTTAATAAAATATAGAATAAAACTGAAATTATTTTGAAAATTGAAATCTAACTTTGTTTCCACGTAATTAACAAATATAACAGTGAAGTAAAATTAATAAAAAACGAATATTTTAGTTTGCCTTTCAATTTGGTGTCAAAAATTCAAACAGAGTGATTCATACGTTGCAAAAGAAATTAAAAATAATCAGTAATTAATTCAGTAATACTATTCCCAACATTTTCATTATAAATTTCTATTACATATTTTATCCAAAAGATGGTAGAACCATTTTTCCTCAACGTTCCAATCAGATTCAAACTAGATTCTAAAGTTTAGAATAAATTTAAAAATCACAAGAAACTTAAAATAATAAGTGTACAACAAGAAATTGAATGTTGAATTAATTATTAAGTTATAGTTAGGTATTTCATAACATATTCACAAAAAAGTGATGAAGTTCATAAAATATTCAAAACGTGACTTGAACAGAATACTTTTTAAAACTAAATAAAATTCTATTAATTGAAATCCAACTTAGTTCCCACATAATAAATGTATATCATAATAAATATATATCACAATAAAATGAATTTATTAAATATTTGGCCAATAATTTAATAAAAATTTAACAAAATAATTAAGTAGTATCAACTTAGACGACCTACTAGGTCCAAAGCAAATACTATAGCAAAGTTTAGAGTCTACACAAGCAAATTATCATAATTTGTTATTAAAATTATAACAAAACCAATATATAAATATTTATAAACGAATTACCAACATTTTGAATATTATTTTCTTTTTTACTCAACAGATGGCAGAACCATTTATCCTCAACGTTCCAATCAGATTCAAACAAGATTCCATCGTGGGGGAACAACTTCTTGAGTTCTTCGTAAACACGTTCACTGTTTACTGTTAGTCGGTGTCGACAGCGTCGTATGTGTTAAAATTAATTTATTTATTGGTGTTTTAAAAGAAAATTAAATAATTCATTTATTGGACAATTCAAGAACCGATATTGGATGTATAAAAGTGTAGTGTGGAAAAAAATTGTTTTTCAAAGGTATTTCGAGTGCGAAATTGGAAATATGTTTAATGTTTAGAACCTGTTGCACGTGTGAGAATGTGTGGGAATAAAGTTGGATTTAAATTGTTAAAGTAAAATATTTTGAATTTCTAATAGAAATTAGAAAAATATTTGGTTAAATTTAAGGCACGTTTTTGCAATTTTTGGTAATGCATATCGATGGGTACAGAACTAACTATTTGTGATATATTTGCTAACGCGATATTGGATTTGGTTTCATTGTAATTATTATTGTAATTAACTGAAACGTTTGTTTTTTTAATTTTAAAAAATATTCACAAATATATTCGATTAGATTGGAGCCACTGTTTTGGAGAGCTTTGTGAACAAGACCATGAGCAATAAACTAACATTTATAATTTAATTACTAATACGATGTTGCATTTGATTTCATTGCAATTATTATTGTAATTATTTAAAACGTGTTCTTCTATTTTTGAAAAATGTTTAAAAATATATTCGACACGATTTAAGCATCTTCTAGGAACTATTTAGTGAACAAGATCATGAGCAATGAAGTAACATTTATAATTTAATAATTAATACCAAATTCGATTTGTTTAATTGCAAGCATAATTTAATTATTTGAAATGTGTATTCGTTTAATTTTAGAAATACTTAAAACTATTTTTGACTAGATTTTGGCCACTTTTTAGAATTATTTAGTCAAGATCAAGAGCCATAAACTAACATTTGAAATTTAATTATTAATACGATATTGCATTTGATATTATTACATTTATCTTCTTTATTATTTTTTGATTTTAAAAAATACGTAAAACTATATTTAATTTTAAAAAATATTTGAAAATATATTCGATTACATTTGAGAATTATTTAGTGAACTAGACATTCAAAAAATAAATTAATATTATAATTCAATGGTTAATACTACATTCGATTTAAATTATTACAATAATAATGTAAAGTAAATAAAATGTTTGTTCTTCGAATTTTAAAAAATACTTGAATCGATTAGATAAATGTCACTTTTTTGAAAAAATTTGTTAACAAGACCTATAAGAAATAAATTAATATTTATAATTCAATGGTTAATACGAAATTCGATTTGTCTTTAAAATTATTGATAATTTTTTTAGAATGCGTTATAGAATTCGTAATTGATAAAAACGTGGAATAAATGTTTTTCTTAAGCAAAGAATATAAAATTTAAATTAAAAAAATTAACTCCTAGTTACAGAACAATTTTGGAATTAATTATTTTTATCGTGCGTTCGATTTTCATTAATTCACATTTTTTAAATTGAGAATTTTTTTTTAATAATATAATTTACTCGAATTTTAATTCTATTAAATATAATAAATGAATGACTCTAAGTAGAAGTTACCATAGTTCAATGTACAATTTCTTCTTGATAATTTCAAGAATGTATTCATAATTTGAACAAATTGGTTCGACTGAATAAATTTAGCAAATTTTGCTTATTTTTCTAGAAAAACCAACGTGATAATTTTCATAAAAGACAGTTATATATCAATTATATAAAAAATGAAAGTGTGTTTAATTAGTCCATCAATGCTATATCGAAAATGATCGAAACGAGAATTTATCAACAAAATTTAGAATTTAAACAAATATGCAAAAATTTGGTATTTTTTTTAAACCGACTGCTTCAGAACCTAAATATCGTACATTGATAATTATTTCTACAAATTGCTATAAAGAATTTAGTTAATTTTGCTTATTTTTCAGAAAACACGACGTGATATTTTTCATAAAAAGCATAAATATAAAATATATATAAAAAAATGATTGAAACGAAAATTTATCAACAAAATATAATAAAATTTAAACAAATTTTCCTAAGAATTTGTAATTTTTTTCTGAACAAACTGTTTCTGAATCTAAATGTATGGTCATTGATAGTTACTTCTATCAATTGTTACTATGAATTTAGCAAATTTTCATATTACAAACATCGTGACAACTTTTTGAAACATGAAAATATATTTTATTTATCCAGGATGTACTCCGAAAATTATAGAAATATTAATTAAACTTAATAAAATAAACCATTTTTTAAATATTTAAAAAAATAATGTATGGCATAAAAATATATTGCTTAAATAAATGAATAAGGTAATTGGTATCATATTTTTCAATACTAATGCAAGCAACAAAAATATTTTGCACAATTCAACTAATAAGCGATGATTTTTTTTCAAAATTTGAATTTAATATAAATAAATATAAATTATCAAAATATAAAGTACTTACATATTGCTTTGAGTTGTTCAAATTATAAACCAAATTCCAATTTCCCATTGAAATCTGTAAATATTAAAAATATTAGTGGTAGAGTTATGGTTTCACAAATTTTCTTATAACAAATAATTGATTAAAATTTGTGGTTTTAATTATTAGTAAATCAATTACATTATAATATACTACATTTGCTTTAAATTCTAATCGAGAAGTATTTTTTATAACTTTTTATATCAATCACCAACTCGAACCTTGATATACCTATTAATTTTCTTAAAAAAAACCATCACCTTAAGAACTTAGTAAATCTCATGGTCATAATTATGTAATCCATTTATTAAGTAGGTGTCCACAAAAAATTTTTGTCTTAAATTCCTAAATCAAAAAAAACCGTTACAGTAAAATATTTCTTCTAACTTCTACAAATTCTTTACAAAATTTTTGGTAATTTTTCTAACAATTTGCACCTTGATTCTAATAAGATGAAATATGCCATTGTGAGACTGATGGTGAATGAATAGATTATTTTTCAAGTGTTTTATATTATTGAAATTTTTAAAATAATTTTTAAGTTTAGTGAACTTTTATATCAAGTGCTAAAAGTATTTATTGTTGATTTTTTTTGTGTACAGTGTATGGGACGGATTTGCTTGGAATTATTTGGATAATAAGGTAAGATAGTTGATATTTATTTTTATTCATTTATATATATATATATATATATATATATATATATAATTAACATTATAGAAACTTTAAGAAATCAAAAATAATTCAAATACAAGCAATTATTGAATTGTTCCTTGCACTTCTATTTTAACTATTTTTTTCAGAAAATATATTAATTAATTTTGTTAATGTGTTCTAGAGTTTTCAATTAAATATTTGCATTCATTTATTTATTTATGTTATTTATTATGTTAAATAAGATTCCGATTTTTGTGTTTTATACAAAATTTGCATCTAATTTATCATCAAATAAATACATTTTTTAAAAATCTTTTGAACAACATTTTATATTCACCATTTCAATGTAATAAAATTGAAGAGAAAACATTCAAATTATTAGAGTAAGAAAAAGTACATTTCTAAATATATTATTGTGTAAGAAATTCAAGTATTTCAAGAAATACTGATTCTGTTCAAAATTTTTAAAAAATTCTGAAATTTCAACAAAACTTCCAAAGATTTCCAGGTTAGGAACATAATGTACATAAAAATAATTGTATAGTTTGCATCATAAGTATTATTTTAAAAATAATGATTCCTTAATTTTTTTAAAAAATGATTTTTCTTGAACAAAATTTTATCGATTTTTTTTAACACAATTGAGGAAAAAACGTTGAACTTACTTCAGCTAAAAATATGTAATTTTTATGTTTGTTTTTTGTAATTTTAGATTTTTTTTGTAACAATTTCTTAAGTAAAAAAGTCTGAACTTGTAAAACATTAGTTTCCTTTAGAGTTTTTAATTAAATAGCATTATTTATTGCTACATATATAATAAAAATAACTATATTTTTGTTTTTTAGAAAGATCATATTATAATATATAAATTTAATACGCAAAATTATGTAAAATGATTAAAAATTATTAGAAAATCTTCATTTTAAATCCAAAAAATGACTAGGTAAATCAAATAGCATATATTTATGAACAAATTGATACTTGATAGAATTTTTTCTTCTAATTTCTAATATCAAAGGTATAAGTGAGATTTTTAAAAGTTTTTTGAAAATCTCTTGGGCAAAGAATTATGTTTACTATTTTAATTTTTACAAAATTGAAGAAAAATCATTGAACTCTTACTATATTGTAAATAAAAATATAAAGCTGGAATTTGTTTTAAATAATTATATATTATTTAACAATTTCTTAAATATATAAAAAATAAATATCGGGCAATCATTCGTCTATAACTGAAAATATTTAAAACAAAACAATTTTTTATAATTTCTTAATTATCTTTTAAAAGCTGCGAATAAAATATCTAATTTTTTGAAATTATTTTTTTTAATTGAATATTGTTAAATATAGTATCTAATAGATTGAATTTAATTTTAATAGAATATATTTTCTTAAAAAATGTTTCAAGAAATATTTCTGAGTAAAATTTAAAATTTCTTTAATAATTCAGTATAAAAACAATATTATTACAATTACACAAAGGACTAAATTTTAATTAATTATTACTATCAAACGATTAAAAATATTTTATATAAGTAAATATGGAAAAAATATTCCTCAAGCTAATTTCGGATGGGTAAAATTTTGCAAAGACATCATCTCAAACAGAAATTTACAACAACTTCCTAATCATTGTTAATTATTTTCAACAAATTTAAACTGCATAAAATACCAAACAATCTGTGCAAAATACCCAGATTTTTTTTCCAATCAGTTCAACAATTGTACAAATATTGATACAAATTTTCCATATTTATAATTATTCGATCATTATGTATTTTGCAGCTTTGTAAACAAAATAATATAAACAAATAAAGCAATTGCAATTTGCATACATTGTTAATTGTTGTCGGCGATTCAAATATTGATATTTGATCAATGTCTGGCTCAAAAATACAAAACAAATTTTGAAAATAATTAGTAAAGTATTTTAATGGTGCTCAATCGAACAGTAAAAGATTTGAGGATAAATCATATTAATCATTTGATTTATATGGCATTACAATTATTATTTATTTTATGTTATTTTAGTTATCATCAGTCGTCTAGAAATTAAAAAAACAAAACGCAAAAAAGAAGTCGATACGATTTTCAGAATCTTGTTTCATTCAAATAAACAAAATAAGCATAAACAAGCGCAAAGATACTTTTTGGTTTTCTAAGAATTATTAAGTGATTTGTGAATAATTTTGACTCTGATGATTCTCATATAAATAGTAACAGTTTTTGCAAAAATCTTGCGAACTCAAGTTTATGGATTTGTGCATTGTTCACAAAAATTAATTAATCTAAATAGATTCTTTATGTCTGGGTCACCAAATGAGCAGTCTACAAAACTTCTCTAGTTGTGTAAAAAATGTTAAAATTAATTTATATGATTAAATAATATCAACGATTACGTACATGATAAATCTAATTGTGCCAGATTTTTTTTGTAGCAGATGCTTAATATTTCACAAAATAATTTAAGTACCTTAAAATGTCCATATCTATCACCTTCAGTGCACGAGTTTTTCTTTTACTATTTCATTAATATATTATATTTTTGTGTCGGTAAAAGTAGAAAAAACAAGGCACTTGTTCCAAAGATACTTTTTTATTTTTTTTATCTTCGGAAAACCTGTTTTGGTCGAAGACATTTGACACAAATATTTGTGACGGCGAAGAAAAGACCTGTTGTGCTCTTTTACATAATCGCTTATGGCTATATCGAGCTTTTTAAAACGACCAACATCGTATCTGATGATAAATTTGATAAGCCTCACCGTGGTCTCGTAGTAAGAGCTTTGGCCTTGCCACAAATTTCTCTATTTCAAAGGCGTTGTCCCTATGACAAAACCGCTATTTTTAATTTAATTTTTTATTTTGTTCGTGGCTCACGTGGTATTTGCTGGTATGTTCGTCTAATGCAAAAGAACAATGATAATTTATACAGAACCATTTATTTATTCATTGTATATTGTATTCAGCGTTGAAACGTTCTGTACGTGCCTTCTGGACGAAAAGAAAAAAATAGTGTGGAGTTGGTTGAATATTTATATTAGGTTGGGATATATTTGAAATTGAAAAAGAAACTAGTGGTGGATGACGTTTTATCGTTAAACGTCATCCACATAAACGCTTTAAACTGGAACTTCCTGTACCAAAAATTAAATTTTTAAATAACCTTTTTTTATAAAAATACGATTTTTATTAGAATTTCAATTTTTCTTTCAAAATATTAAATTTTATTCAAAATTTTGAAATTTTTACAAAACCTTGAGATTTTTTTTAAATTTTCAAATGTTTGAAAAAATCGATTTTTTTGAAAAATTTTGAAACCCATTTTAGGGTTTGTTGTAAATGTCATTTGACAGAACATTTGTTTGTACCCACAAAATCATACATACACACATGCATCATTTTTTTCTAAGTTATGCCGAAATGTTCAGAAACCTTTGAAACGTAAAGATATATAAAAATATTCATTTTCAATTATTCTTGCAATTACAATATTTTATTGTACTTACAAAAACTATTCACTATCGTTTTTATTTCCGCAATTCTACTGCAACAAAATCTTCAGAAAAAAAGTGTAATTCGAAAGTGGAAGTTATGATAGAGTAAAAATAACACTAGTTATTGATGTCTACATTTTAATGTGAGAATCGGTCAATATTTTATTCATTTTTCAAACTTATAAGTTTGATTTTTCAAGGTGGGCCAATTAAATTACTACGAATTTAAAAACCGATTAATTCATATTTATATTAATCATAAGTATGGGCATTAAAAATAAGATACATTATTCAGTTATTTTTGTTACTTAAAATTATTATTTGAAAATATAAAAATTCGGTATTATGTTACGATATTTTAAACCGAAACAGAATTAAAAATTAATATTTCAACAACTAAGATATTATTTACTATTATTGATAGTGTAAACTTCGCTCGTCTCTAATCACTCGTTTATTGTCTCTAATAACACTCTCTACAATATTCTTCTTTCAAAAACTCTTTTTTGCAATCAATAGGAATCAAATGTTTTGAATCATTCTAATCAGTTGGGCAGTGCTCTCAAAAACGTCAGGAAAAAATTATATTAATACACACGCATTCACGTACATTTTTTCTAAGATATGCCAAAATGGTCAGAAATTTTTGAAACGTAAAAATACGAGAAAAAATTCAGTTTTAACTTTCCGTAGGTTAGTTATAGTAATCGTCCAAAAATCGAAATTGAAAATTTTTGCATTTCTCGACGTTTTGAAGGTTTCTGAACATTTTGGCATACCTCAGAAAAAATTTATGTGTGCGTGCGTGTGTATATGTATGTATGGATACAATTTTTCGGTCACGTTTTCGGTCGCACGGATCAACCGTTTTGGATGGTTAAAAAAACATTCGATTTTTATTGATAGGGAGATGTGCTGATTAGTTTTTGGCAGAGGCAAGTCCAGCCGTTTCGGAGACACGGAGCAAAAAGTGCAGAAAATAGAAATCGAGTTTTTGAGAGAACGGAGTATACGATTTGAATGATCTAAAAAACATTCAATTTGTAATGATTGGGAGAAGTGGTGATTAATTTTTGGCAAAGGCAAGTCCAGCGGTTTCGGAGATACAGAGCTAAAAATGCAAAAAATGGCAGTTTTTGAGAGAACTAAGCATCTGATTTGAATGATTCAAAAACTTTTTGCTTGTTTCAACAAAATAATTGCTTTTTGAAAAAATAATTGTTTTGTTTCTATTTCTTTTTCTCAACAAAATTTTTTTTTCATGGAATTTTTTTTTGTATATCGAGAATAATTCAGATTTTAATTTTATTTCTGTTCTATTGTACTTTAAACAAATATTTCTAACCTTGCAATTCAGTTTATATATTTCTTATGAATATTAGACAATGTTGCAATATTTATAACAATCTATTTGAAAACATTTAATATTCCTCGAACATTTCGTTACGGTACGGGAAGTTCCAGCAATTTGCCTTAAGGCACGATGCC